CCACACCCTGAACCCCTCATCCCCAGCTCTGTTGGGTTGCGGGCATCAACAATTTTCTTCAACTGGGTCACCAAAAAAAAAGTTTGAAAACCACTGAACTAGAGGACTACCTCCCTTAAGGCTCATTGCTAGAAGACTCAGACACCTTTTAAGTGGAGCAGCCACTAGAAGGAGACAAAGAGCCACGCTCTCCTAGTACAGGTTACATAGTTGAGTAACTCTTAGTCAGTCTGCTCCCAAAGGCCAAGCAAACATTGCCTTTAAGAAACACCAACACTCCCAGTGCGATTTCCAAGTTTAAAATAATCATCTCTTTATTACACAGTTGGACACTGCTTTAGTTTATTTAAAACGGAGTGTTAGAGGCACCCTCCGTTCACCTGTGTGTGTTTCCCATTGGAGGGTGAGACACAAAAGGAACAAGCAAAGGGGAGAACCAATTTCTGTGCAGCCAATGCAACATCTCAAGCAGTATGGTCCCGGGGGGGGGGGGAAGGAGGGGGGAATGCTGCAGCTGTATGAGGTGGTGGGGGTAGATCAGAATTATTCTGTTGCAACAAGTTTGTTTCGTTTTAACGTCTGGATATTCCCTCTTGGGAAAAGCGTGCACCTCCCTTGAGTCCCTGTGGAGCTGATAGCCAGCCAGCCATGTGCAGCCCCCACATGCTCCTGAGGGATGCTCTTTGCTCCGTCACATGCAGCATCCCTTCCTCTTGTGGTACTCTTCCAGGTGGAGAGCACTTTCCCTCTGTTTATCCTCTTGAGTTGTCAGCAGCCTGGAATGATCAACACATTAGCAGTTCAAGAACACAGCAGCCTGATATTGCCTGCTTCCTGCCAAGTTGTTCATGCCCTGTGGTCCCCCTCAGGCAAGAATAAACTAGATGTTGAAGAGTGAAGGGAAATAGTGAGAGCTGGGCTTCTTTTGGAGTTGGGCTACATAAAAGACAGACATTATTGGTGAGAAATTCCAAATGAATGCAGAGGAGGACGTAGCATCTACTAGAGGAGGCAGGTTTCAGAGTAGCAGCCATGTTAGTCTGTATCTGCAAAAAGAACAGGAGTACTTGTGGCATCTTAGAGACTAACAAATTTATTTGAGGCAGTGTGTCATGGGGTAGGACACTGGTGTAGGACTCAAAAGATGTGGGAATCTATTCCTGGCTCTACCACTGGCCTGCTGGGTGACCTTGGGGAAGTCATGTGCCTCAGTTTTCCCATCTGTAAAATGGGAATGCTGCATTCTTTGTAAAGCACTTTGAGATCTGATGAAAAGCACTGTATAAGAGATAGGTGGTAATATTACACTACATTAGAAACACAGCTTAATAAACTAACTGCTAGAGTGGGTCAAATTTGTAAAAAAGATGTTACAAACTTTTGTGTTTCAAAGAGAAATACTTTTTCTTTGTTTCCCCAAAAAATGTTTGTGGATTTTTTGAAACAATTTAAAAATGAAAAATTTTCAGATTTGACATTTTTTGTTTCCCTGCCCTTTTCCCATTTGGCCACTAAAAAAGGAAATATGAAAAAAGTAGAAGAAAGGGAGGAGAAAGAAAAAACTGAAAACTGAAAATGAAAATTGTCGTTTTCATAGAAAAACCCAGAAATTTAATTTGGGGATTTTTTTTAAAAGGTCTTTTTTGGCCACAAAAACAAACAAAACACAAATGGTCCAAACATTTTGACAAGCTCTGATCTTTCCTTAGGTTGTGGCAGTGTCCAAACAAGGTGCTTTCCACACACAGGGGAAGACAACAACCACTCCCCTGGCATGTTGACCCCCTCAGCCTGTTGAGTCACCAAAAACAATGTGCTACTCCAGCTTCTCATTTGGGACCAAGTTCTATTTCAGATGACCCCCCTTCTCCTTGCCTGTACCTGAGAGAGATTGTAGCAGCTCCCCCATGGCTGAAAAAGGTCCCAGGGTGATGTTGTTCCGCTCCACTCACCTTGCCATATGCAGCATGGGCTCCCGGATGTTATAGCCAGTCATAGCGCTGCACTCATAGAAGACAGCCTTGTATTCCTGCAGGAAAGGAGAGTGAGAAGATAACTTCTGCCACTGTCAACCCCCCCTTCCCCGCACCTAGTCACACACACGATCCTTCCTCATCTCCAGCACTTGCAAAGGATTATCCTTCATCTCCACATACACGATGTAAGATCATCCCGCTCTGGAACCCTCTGGGGTTTCACAGAATGCTGCACACATGCCACCAGTCATACTGGCATCACAGAGTGCCATCCCACGAGTGATATAGGCACATTCTTTTTCAGCAGCTGGAGGTCTGGTTGGGGCCCTGGCGTCAAGAGTGTGTCACAGCTCTAGCAGCCCAGGGGAGCACTGGGTTGGGTCTTTTAGCCACCTCATGCTCCACTACACAATTCAATGCAGCAAGGCCCAGTGCAGGAGTCTTTTCAGCTAAGGGGAGGCAGGGACCACTAGGCATTGAAACCAGGAAAATAAATTCTCATTTCATAATCAACCAATGCATTCCTGGCAAAACTAGGGTATGCCAAGAGCGTGGAGCCTGGACTGGCAGACTTGCTAGATTCCTGGTTAAATGGCCACTATTTCAAAGGAATGCAGTGGGCTGCACCCTCACCCTGAGGGGTCAAATTCACTTTAAGGATGCACCAAGCCCAAGCACAAAGAGACCCTAAGTCCTTCCAGAGTCTGAGTTCATCACAAGCTGGCCACTTGATATCATTAAGGCTAAGATTTTGTCACGGATATTTTTAGTAAAAGTCATGGACAGATCACGGGAAATAAAGAAAAATTAATGGAAGCCCATGACCTGTCCCTGACTTTTATTAAAAATATCTGTGACAAAATGAGGAGCCCAGCTGAGGGGTCCCCACACCGCCTGCAGAGGTTGGACAGCCGTGGGCGCCGCTCCGAGCTCTGGAGGACCCCACCGCCTATGCGGGCTCGGAGCTCCAGGGTCCCCTGGCTCAGAGTTCCGGGGTACCCCCACCACCAGTGGCAGCCAGGAGCTTTGAAGGACCCCCGCTGCCCGCGGCGACCAGGAGCTGCGGCCCCACCTCCCGTGGCAGCTGAGAACCCCCGCAGCTTCTGGCCGATGGGGCTGAATTCATGGAGGTCACTGGAAGTCACAGATTCCATGACTTCCACGACCTCAGTGAAAAAATCGTCGTCTTAATTATCATTTAAGGACTTCACCCTGCACTACTGAAGTCAAGGGGAGCTTGGCTGTTGATTCCAGTGGGGGCAGGACCATACTCTGCAATAGCTGTGAGCATAGGAGAGTTCCCTCCCATTTCCTAAATATGGCAGTGAGCAAGCAAACTAGATCAGAGCGAAATCTACAAAACCTTTGGAGCGGGGAGTAGCATACAGAGCCGCACCTTTGCCAGCCTTTCCCCCTCCGTCTTGGGCACGTGCAGAGTCTCTCTCTCTGCTGCATCCATTTTGTTTCCAAGCAGAAAGATCATGGCCCCATCCTCAATCCCTTCCTGCAGGACAGACAGAGCAAGGCTCCCGTGAGAACCGTCTGGAAGACAGGAGTATCTCGGGGCTGGATCCTGCTCCTGTCAACACGAATAGGAGCCTTGCCGTTGACTTCCGTGAAAGCAGGAGCAAACCCCATGGGACCTGCCAGCTCGCCAGGAGATTTCATTTATTTAGGAACTGTTCTGCAAGCTTTTCAAGTGACACTGGGAAAGGAAGTGAAACTATGGGAATGTTCTGATTACAAGTGGTTGATTTATCAAGCCTTAATACCAGGGTTTCTCTGAGTGGGTCAGGGAGGAGATGGGATTTTAATGGGGGGGGAGGGGAAAGGGAGGGGAGGAGTTGTATTTAGTTTCACTGACTTTTTAAAAGAAAGAAAGAAATCTGCCCTATGAGAATTTAAAAGTCCTGCCAGTTTTTCCTGTAGAGCCTGAATTTCCTTGGTCTGGAGCCATTCAGCTTGATGCCTGCTGAAACCAGCCATTCTTAACTGAAAATCCACAAGCTAAACAGGGTAAGCAAATTTAAGCCCTCACATAGCATTTTAGCAGCAGCTGTCATTCAGGGGTCACATCTGAAGTCCCTTATTTAGGTAAAACCCCCCTATAACTTCACTGGAAGTCAACTTGAATAAGAACTTCAGCATTTGACCCTGGATCATCTCTAAACGTAAGTATTCTACTCCTCATTTGAACTGCTCAGGCTTAGAGTCAGGTGAAAAATATAGGCCAAATTCTCAGACGTGACTACAGATTTTAGATGCCTCAATTTTTGGGTTCCCACAGTGGCCTGATTTTCGGAGGGCAGGTACGAAGCACATTCTGAAAATTAGGCCCCTTTCAGGTTTCAAGTTGGATTGGGAAAAAAAAAAAAAGGCACCTGAAATCACTAGACATTTTTGAAAATCTTGGCCTTGAACCCTTAAAATTCCTTGGGGAAAAATGACCAAGCTATTTCTAATGGGTATGTGCAAACTTGCTGACATTATTAATAAAACTAACTGAACAGATTTATTTCAACCTTGGCTTGATTTTTATGTCTCAGCATGATCTACAAAACAAGCAAAGTTTGACACTCTCAGCTTCAGCTTTGTATCACCCATACACAAAATATCTACTCAGAACATATAGGGAAAGTATTCACCCCTTTCCTCTCCTCACAACTCAAATATATCTGAAATGATTTTGCTTTCAAACTTTCACACACACACACAAAAAAACCTCTTGCAAATCAACTGAGATTTTTGCAGAATAACATCACCCCAAAATAATGTGTTTGTGAAAGTTACAACAAACTGGAAAAGGGGTTGGAAGATAATTTATTTATTATTAGTGTTACAATAATGCATAGAGGCTCTAAATCGAGGTCAGGTCCTCATTGTGTTAGGTGTTGCACATACACAAAGTAAGAGACAGTCTCTGCCTCAAAGGGTTTTTGATCAAAACAGACCATAATCATGTCTTTGCTCTATGCACAACAGTAAGAATATTAGGAAACAGCTGAGTTCCAAATAATCGGGTTTACTACATATATACAAACATGCTACACTTAGCTACATAAATACACTGTTGCTCTGCTAGGTTTTGGTGACTTCTACAACAGAAGACAAGGAGGCCCAAATAATTCAACAGAATACTACCCAATTCCTATCTACTACAATCACCCAAACTAAATCTTAGCTATAGTAGCTTACCTACCTATGTCTGCTATTATGGTTAGTACTGTTTGAGTACCCTACAGACCTTGGGACCTTCCAGGCCTTTACTAGCATACAACATGGCTGCTTCAAATGGCCTCCTTTCTAGAGCAGGTCCATGCGGGGTCATTGCAGTAAAAGGAGAATCTTGAGCAATGCCAGCATGTCAAAAACAAGCCCAAACGTGTCTCGCTCTTACCTGGATGCTACTCATCCAGTTCCGCACAGCCACGAAGGAGCACTCATCAGTGATGTCATACATCACAAAGATACCATCCACCTTCCGGAAATACTGCTTGGTGATGCTCCGAAACCTGAAGTCAAATGAAACTGAAGATACTTCCAGCATCCATTCAGCCATTAACAAGCAAGCAAACTATCCCTTTCTTAACATGGATCATCTTTGCATGGCCTAGTGGCAGCTGCAGGAAGCTCAGTCTTTCTAGAGCCAGCTGTGATTCCCATTAACAGGGGCGATGAAGGCAGGTGTCTCGGACTCTTGAGATTTCATCTCCATGGAAGGGCCCAAGGCAGCAGTGAATCAATGAGTAAACTACCATCTGTCCAGAAGCATGGTGTTTAGAAAGCAGGAAGGAAAACCAGGCCTGGGTTAGGAGGAAGAGGACAGGGAGGAGAGTCCATTTGGATGCGATCAGGAGGAAGATGAAGGATTTGTCATGGGGAAATCTGGGGCTGGAGGCAGGGAAATCTCTGCAGAGTGACGTTTTGGTGGATCTGTAACTTGGACCTTTTCTACATTGGGATTTCAGCCACTGGTTTAGCTACACCAGAGCAAACAGCATTGACCCAGAATAAACCATGTCTTTATGAGGACTCTCACCAGTGCAGCCACACCAGGAACAAAGCCTTCATCTTATTTCACCCCAGTTTGCAAATGTCTCATACAAGGCAGCCACCTCATGGATGACTCGGCAGATAGATTTGAGTTCCAGGAGAAATTCCAGTGGCTTGGGCAAGTATGTATTTTGGGGAACATACATTCTAGTTCAGGCACATTGTTCACTGAGTTAAACGCAGTAGAGATAGCAAGATCTCCACATATCAGTGCTTTATTAGAAGGACTCTTTAGGACGCAGGCTGACAAGTAAGTCCATTCTCTTGGATAAAGGCTAGAAGAACATGCAGCAGGAAGTGATGTTTCTAAAGCAGGGGTAGGCAACCTCTGGCACAGGTGCCGAAAGCGGCACGTGAGCTGATTTTCAGTGGCACTCACACTGCCCGGGTCCTGGCCACTGGTCCGGGGGGCTCTGCATTTTTATTTAATTTTAAATGAAGCTTCTTAAACATTTTGAAACCTTATTAACTTTACATACAACAATAGTTTAATTATATATTATAGACTTCTAGAAAGAGACCTTCTAAAAATGTTAAAATGTATGACTGGCACACAAAACCTTAAATTAGAGTGAATAAATGAAGACTTGGCACACTACTTCTGAAAGGTTGCCGACCCCTGTTCTAAACTAAATAACTCTGCTTCCCTTGGAGCATGTTCTCTTCTATGGCCTGTAGGGGGCGCTGTTGACCCTAAGAGCTGGCATCAGGAAAACTCTCCATTTGAGAGAGCCAGTAGTGTGTCCCTGGAGTTCCAGCAACACCTTTGACACTACAGAGCTCACTAGACAGTGGAGCGATCACCACATGTAGTGGTTATTTGCTTCTATGGGCCAAAAGAGATCATCAAGAAGCTCTCCCGTGTGTGGAGGAGTGTCCCCCCCTTGCCGATACCAAGCATTGTCTGGGTGCTGCCAGTTAGGAGCTGTTACATCGATATTTTCAGAGCTAAGAAAGATTTTTGCACCATTCCAAGGTCCTGATTCAGGAAAGCAGGAAAGCAACGTGCTTACTTATAAGCACATGCTAAAGTCCCATTGATTTCAAAGGAATTTACACACATGCTCGAGTGCTTTCCTGAGGAGGGATGATTTCCTGAAGTGGGGTCCCCGAGTGATTCAGGGAAAGCATGTTACAACTAGGCTAGAAACAACTATCACCTGACACCTCTGCCTTGGCATAAATATGGCTACAAGAACTTGTTTAAATGGAAATTTTGCTTCTTTACATGTGTCTGATTTGGGGCAGTCTCTATTTATAATAACCAAGTATATGACACTTCTCGATTGCAAAATCTGATTGGCTGAGATGGGACTTGTATCATTGTTAGTGGCCAGCATCGGGTCACACCACCCTTGTGACTCAACCTCATCAGGAGATAGGTCTGACATCGCAGCATATTTAGAGAAAAAAATGCACAGTGTTTGAGACAATTTCAGTGCATTTACGCCACACTCCATGAAATTAAATGGCCCCCTTAAAGTGGTAAACTCAGATTTGAAAACACCGCATAATTAAACATGAGTAGCACATGGTAAATAAATGTAGCTCACTCTAACACAGTGTGGTTCTTTGTCCCCTCTAGTGGCTAGACCACAGAAGAGGTTTATCATTGTGTTACTGGCTCTAAGCTAAAAGAGCTAATGCTTTATCTTAAGAAGTAGAGGTTGATGCTTTTAAATCCAGAGGTCCTAAATTCAATCCCAGCCAGGGCCATTGTTACATAAAATTATTTCCCAACATTCCTGGAGGCATCAGGAGCTGTTTCGAGTGCCACCTGCCCTGTTGTTTTTCAGGAGCACATCAACTTAGGTAGGAGAACTTTAAGGCCCAGAGCAAGTTTGTACCCTGGTGCTAATGATGCATGATGTTTGTATCCCGATGCTAATGATGAGGCTGGCCCCAACCTTAAATATGTGGACAAGTACTCCAGGTGTGTTGAAATTCACACCCTTCCCATGACACTCGGAATCATCCCCTCCACGACCTGCTTGGGAACCACAGATCCTATAGATCTCCTGCATGGAATTGTGATACAGACACTGATGGCAGAACCTTCTGATGCCAGCTAACAATCCCTGTAAGGTTAAAATGAACATCACATTCCTTGGGACCTGATACAGATCTGCTCTCTCCTCCCACACCCTGCCCACAAGCTCAGTAGCCACTCTCAGTGCTTACTGTTACGTGCTGTGAGTTTGGCAGCATGAAATCCTAGCATGGAACCCAAATGCTTCATTTACCTCTCCTGGCCCGCTGTGTCCCACAGCTGCAAGGCCACCTGTGTGTTATCCACCATTAAACTCTTCACCTGGTAATCAATACCTGTAGGGGAGGCAACAGCACATAGTGATTGCAGGATGGGGCAGGGGAAAACAGGGAAATGAGGTCTACAGAAAGGATCAGCTGAATTACTTCAGTGAAACAAAATTGTAGGGGCAGGGACTCTGTCTTCCTTTGTGTTGGGGAGGGGCCCAGCTCATTTTAGGTGCTCCTGCAGTCTAAAGAAATAACATTACAGCGAAGACACCAATCCTTCCCAACTCTCTCTTTGCCCCAGAAATAGGTCAGACAGCTCCCTGGATAACTCAGAGATCAACAACCCATCTTCTGAAGATCTTTAAGGTGTCTCCGGTTGGGCACCCCAGAATCACTAATCCTTTTTGGAAAATCTTGGCCATTATTTCTCAGTGTCGACAATGTATTCAGTGCTGTGCGGAACATACAGGAGAGAGAAATTATCCACTCCGCTAATGCTGAAGGAGATGGTTCTTATGGGTAACTCTGCATTGCCATGGATCAGAGACACAACAGTGGGATCATTTCAAGCTTCCTTTTTTGACGTGTCATTCTGTCCCTCATTTCCCAGGCCAGAGGCTCACACCGCTGTGACCTGGCAGCACGGGGGAGCCCTTTCACTTACCAATGGTTGCATTAATCTCAGCCAATAACCTGTCATAACAAAAGCGATGGATGAAGGAGCTCTTGCCAACGCCAGAGTTGCCCACAAACACCACTTTGAAGAGACGTTCTGGGGAAGAGCTGGCTGGTTCAGGTGCCTGAATTTGGGGAAAAGAGGGTGGGAAGAGAAGAGAGTTTATAGAAACCAAGGTCTGAGTTGTGCTTTATGGGCCAGAACTACAGCTGGTGTAGACCAATGGAGATTGGAGGTGGGGGGTAAGGTTCACAAAAGCTCAATATCCACAAGATTCACCCATCTTCCACCCTCCCCCACCTCACTTCACCCCCCGGTAGCACGTGAGGGAAAAGGAAGAGCCCTAAATGATTAGGCTTACCATGGTTTCCATGCCAATGGGCTGCTCTCTGGGGGACAATGGGGCATCACTGTCCAATTCATCTGCTGTTTGCCTCCAGTTGACATCACCCTTCGAAGCCATCTTTGGGTGCCCGCCAGCCCCTGCCATTTGCTGCCGCTCTCGCTTGCAGCTTGAGGTGCAGCCCTCTCCAAAGCTCACTCTGCTTGCTTTCCCCTTCTTCAGTGCCGTTGTGGTGGCCAGGAAGTATTTACAGCTCTTCTGGTTGGGCTCTTCCACAGTCATGTCCTCCAGGAAAGTGAGAGGAAGATCCCCAGGAACCAGCTGTCTGTGCCAAGACCCATGTGTGCCCAGAGATGGGATGGGATGAGGGGGGCCAGAAATGATCAATGTGACCAAGTTAGAGCACACAGAATACTGACTGGGACACACACACTAAGAAACTAGAGGGGGAGGGAGGTGAGAGGCCATAGCACACACGACCCAGTTCTGCAAACACTTATGCACATGTTTAAGTGTTTGCAAGATTGGGATCTGAGACTGTGGATCTTACCCACATTATATAGGTTCAACCCCTCTTAATGGAACAAAACTAGAAGGAAACTCAGAGATGGTGGCACCAGCAGGTGTACAGACAAGCTGCCCAAGCGTCCATTTCAAACAGCTTCTTATGGCGACTGTCTGTGTTGTAATTAGAGTGGCTCAAAAAAAAAAGGGGGGGGGGCAGAATTTAAAGAAAACAAATTGTAGCCAATCCTGTGTGGCAGGTTTCCAAAAAATAGTGATGTTTGGTTTATTTGAAAATGTTTATGATTTTTTTTTAAATAGAAAATTTCTTTTTGCTGGGTTGGGTTTTTTTTGGTGGGGGAGGGTGGGTTGTTTTGTTTTTTTTCTTTCAGTTCTTGGTTCTCACCCTCCACCCTGTCCATTCCTTTTTTCCTATTGCTGCAGGCAAAGGGAAGGGAAAACAGGTGAAAGGAACAGTGGGAGGGAGTGAGGAAAAACAAAACACTGCAAGATGACTGTTTTTCAATTTCTAATTTCATCAAACGTGTGTGCCTTAGAACATGTCCATTATTAGCATCCACAGTTCAGCTGAGTGCTCTCATACCCCCCCTCCCCCGCCCCCAAGTGCAGGGGGCTGGACTTGGTGATTTCTCACGGTCCTTTCCAACCCAATACTGCTATGATTTACAACCATGTTAGCTCTGCAACCAGTTCTAAAAAATGGATTTCAACACCACATACAACTGGCTCAGGGGAAGAAAGAAATCAAAGATCTGGGCTCGGACAGACAGTTATTCTTCTGAACCGGCTGTTCCCAACTGTAAGCTCTCAATTGCAGCGAAGCTTTTTCCTAGGGAAGGTCTAGTGGGTCATCACCCACTCTGTTGTAGCTGTGAAATGGCTGCATGATTGCCATCCACTGTGTGTGTTTGAAGCCATGGCTCCACTAAGAGGGAGGATTACAGGGCCTTAGGGCAGGCTGCCCTGTGCAACCTGTCATATATGCTGTTAATAGGACAGCAGGGAAAGCAGTCACCTTTGGAATAATTCATTAGGTACAGAGGACTCATTAGCACTTGGAGCACACGCGTGAGGAGCTGAGAGCTATTAAGTGTTCTATGGCCAGGTTGGCTCGCCATTGTAAGAACCTAGAAGAAGGGAAAGGGAAGATGAAAAACTGAACTAAGCGCTTGATCCAGTGCCCCCTGAACGCAATGGAAAGATTTCCTTTAGCTTCCATGGACACTGGACCAGATCCAAATGAGGTGGGGGCAGGGGAGAGGTGCAGGCTACTTTACAGCCTAATCCTAGGGTAGCATGCTCACAATTGTATCGAGCTAGCATTTAATACAAGGCACTAGTGGATGGGCCAGGGGTCAGCTCTTTTCCCTCTCCGCTAAGCTTAAATGTGGCCAATACCACTAGGGCTGTGAACATTCATTACCTGCTAAGTGCATTCATTTTCCTCCCTGTATTATAGGGTGGTCAGACTGGAAGTGATGGAGAATAGTTGAACGAATGAAATTCCCATCAGGAGAAAGCTCACACGTGGACTCCAGCTCTTGGAGAATAGAAATGTGCATGACCCTCCCTCTACACCCTAAAGATACACAAGCATGAGTGGCTGGAATATGGGGTTGAGAGGCAAAGGCCTCTTCAGAGTAGGGTTGCCAACTTTCTATTGGCACAAAACCGAAAGCCCTAGCCCCGCCCCTGCTTGTTCAAATTCCCAGCAGGTGATTTGCTCAGATGTTGTAAGCCAGAATTTTACCAGGGGGCAGTACTACTTGTTATAACCTCAAATGGGGCTTAAATATGGGGCCATTAGGCTGCAGGGGTAAAAAAGGGGTTTGCATGCAAAGTCTGGTAAACAGGCTAGTGGCTAAAGGAGCGTGCACACCAGGAGTTAACTGCAGACTCTTTTAGCTGCAGGGACAAAATTGGGCCCTCACAGCTGCAGATTATTTCTTAAAATTAGTCCATGTGATTTAAGTAATTCAACCACTTTAGTAGCATCACTAAAGGGACAACCATCCAGGGGAGGTCAGCTCTGTAGCTTTGTCTACATGGGGAATTTGCCTTGATTCCAACAACTGGTAGTCAGCCACCCATGTTGCTGCACCAGTGCAAGCCCCATGTGTAGACAAAGAACACCGGCTAGCAGCTCCTATTCCCATCAAGCTGCAACCCACCAAGCTCCAACAGTTAACCCATCATTGGCCCACATGGGGGGAGGGGGCAGTTAGGGACCCCGGCTGGGCCAGCAGGCTGGCTCAGCTGATCACAACTGGCATGCGACTAACACGACACAGATTCCTGTCTAACCGTTTGACTGGCTTGTCCTCCAACACATATTTGCCTATCACTGACCCGTTCTTCAACAAGGGCCTTTTACTCTGAGGTGCCTGGAAATTGAAGAGAGGGGATGAAAGGAGCAATTAGGATTCATCAGCCAAATGACCAAGCACCAAATGGCACCAGCTCAAACCCCATGGAGTGAACGGCAGCTTCAGCCTCACAAGGGAGATGGTTTTTCAATCCTTTCAAGGCTTTGGGATGTACAGCAATTGAATCCAACCAATAGCCAACAGCTTTGGGTGGATGTGCAAGAGGGGTTAAAGAATTATATGCAATTAGAAGTCATGATGGAGAGCGTCAGGAGATTTTCATGGTAACCGATACATTACATTTCTGGGCCCTGAGTCAGGAAGGTACTTAAGTATACACCTAGCTTTAAGCACATGAATGGTCCCAGTGAAAATCACCAGCCTTATTCTCAGCATGAGCTGAAGTAGCGAGCTGAATTTGGGCCCTTCTTATGATTTTTCATACTTTGAGGTGCTAAAGGCCGTGTCATGATTGGAAGGATTATGGCAAACGGGCATTTCCCGTTAAGTAGGGAATCACACTGTCCTTCTGTATGGATCAGTGTCTCATAAAGCTAGAGGTTGTGGTTATTGCACACATTGTTCTTAATCACAAATGCGGCACACCTGTTCACCTAGTCCCATCCCATGTAGGTATTGCAGCAGATGGAGAGAGATTGGTGCTCAAAGGGGATCTGTGCCAGGACCTCTTCCTGCTTGTACTATGCAGAAAGCCACACATACTCCATAGGAACAGCAGGTGAGCTCATCTCAACTAACTTCTCTTTTACCCAGAAGGGCAGTTCTGACTGTCTTTGATCCCACCTAAGAGACTGTCAGACATGGGGTTTTTCCCCTTCTAAAATCGCACTCCAGCTAAAGGGAAAGGGACCAAGGGATGTTCTTAAAATCAAACCCTTATTTAATGCTTTACATTTCAAAGTCTTTAATTATTTTTTTCTTTTCTTTATCTTTAATTAAAAGTTAAAAGGATTTTTAATGGTATGTTTGCCATAGTGCTAAGCACGCTGAGGTCTCAGTATAACAATCCCAAACACTGTTTAATGATGGCTATGACTGGGTTACATTAATACCTTTGGGCCTCTCTATTCCATCTAAATTAATACCACACCAATGCTGCTTTTTAATGGCATTTCTCATATTTATCCTTGTCTGACTGGCCCCTTCCCTACAGCCAGCTTCCCAGAGAGCACAGAAAAAAATTATTAAAGTAAAACAAACACGCCTGTGAGGTAGGGAGGTGAGCCTCAGTGACTTGCCTGAGGTCAGGCTGGGGGTCTATGGCAGAGCAGAGAAATTGAACCCAGGCTAGCATGCTCACCACTGGAGCAGTCTGCCTCTCTTCACCCAGCTGGCCCTCATCCACCCCCAGTCACAACAAAAGAGACAAGGCACAGATGAGAAAGTGTACTCCATATGCTGGCTTAGGGGAGGGGTGAGGTCTCTTTTCCAGATTATACATCATTTTGGAGGCCTACAGGCACAAACACAAGATTTTCAGGGGGTGGGAGGGGGAGGGGCGAGGATGTGGAAGTGGGTTTATAACCTACCCTACATCCACAGGAACAGCAATTCTTGGCCTAGAGAACCCCTGCAAATGTCTCATGCTAAGTGCTCCCAGGGGTTGTGCTTCACATGCACACAGCCTAAGCTGGAATGTTTACTGGCCCTCCCCCCCAATTAAGAAACCCTCACCCCACCCCATGCTGAAACAACCCTTCCCCCCAAATCTCATCCCAAGGCAATTTTTAAAAAATATAATCAAATGGGACAGTAGCTTCCCAGGGGAAAAGAACTCTAAACCGGTGGTATTTTAAAATAGTCTTCTGGAGTCGATGGCCTCCCTTGCCTACAGGGCTAAGCTGAACTGCGAGTTAAAAAAATATTACCACAGAAAATAAATATTTGGGGCCAGATCCCACCTCAATGGAAACCAGCAAAAAGAGCTGCTGTTTCTATTTCCAGAGCATGGCAAAGGAAAGGGATTTAAATATACACCATGTCATGCCCTAGGGCTGATGGTATCTGGTTATAAAAAAGGAGTTCTGTCAGGGGCTAGTTTATATCAGGAGGTCCCTGATTCTCAGACAGCCACAGAGCACGTATCCCGCACTGTAAGGTCTCAAAGCACCCTTGGTAACCCATTTCATGAAGCTCATATTAGAATGTGGTGCAAGTGTTCCTCCCAGGGTGAAGCAAAGCACAGGAGACACTCAGCCACAGCGGGAGGAGAAAACATGCAGGGGTCTGACTGGGAATAGCAGTTGAAATTTGAGTGCAGTCTCTCAACGCCTGGAACCCTGTAGCCATCCCATGTGTCACATGAGCCTCGGGCAATCCCACAGAGCCCAGTCAGTCACCTTTGGAGCTCAGGTGACTCCTGGGTAATCTGTTACCAGTCAGCCCTACCCACAGAGTAAACATTACCTACTAAATAAATACCTATTTCTAAAAAAAGAGAGACAGTTGCTGGAATTTTGTTTTCATTGGTTCGTCAGGCTTTTATTGGCTTGTTGGCTTCATGTAACTTTGGCTCTTCACATAGATGATACAGACACAAACATGACATCACAACTGTACAATACACAATGCCCAGGATTCCATGAAGACAACAGAAAACAGACTTACTATGGGGGGGGGAGGGAAGGCATATCCTCTACTTCTCATTCACATTCCACCGCTGGCATGTCCTGGCAGTCTAGGTCCCAGTGCCTTACTAGTGGTGAATAGAGGAATCTTGCCTGATCAGGACAGCACCTTTGCTAACACACACCACACAAATATAACAACATGGCTGGGGATCAAACCTGGGACTTCCAGATCTAAAAGCACAAGTCTGTACTGTTTCTGCTGAAGGATCAGCTGTTTGCTCATAAACCTGTGTGTGTGGTTGAGCCACTAGAGGGCGATGCAAAGCCACACCACGTTAGCCTGGATTGCATAAACATGTCCATGGCAACGTTAAAAGCTTTTAGGAACAGGGCCGGCTCCAGGCACCAGCTTGGCAAGCAGGTGCTTGGGGCGGCCACTTCGGGGAGGGGCGGCACGTCCAGGTATTCGGCGGCAATTTGGCGGACGGTCCCTCACTCCCACTCGGAGCGAAGGTCATCCCGCCGAATTGCCGCCGCAGATCACAATCGCGAGCGTGGCTTTTTTTTTTGGCTGCTTGGGGCGGCCAAATCCCTGGAGCCGGCCCTGTTTAGGAAGAACGAGGGATAAAATCCTTCCTAAAAGAGAGCAGAGAATCAGGCTTCTTGTTGTAATTAGGCACATACAGTCCCATATCCCTCACTTTAGCCCATGTGCTTGTTCCTTGCTCCTTCATTTCACAGAAATAACATTATCCTTCCTAAGATTTACAAAGAGCTAAATTTTTAAATTATTTTTGCTTATTTAAAAAACAGATACATTCCCTCTCCACGAGGGGCTGTGTTTAAACACACATGCCAAAACCACAGAAAAGGCCCTATGTCTGCTGCTGATGGCTAGAACTTGCACCACCATCCAGCAGGCAGAGTCCCTGTGAGGGAGCTGTGGCCAATCAATGTCCCTGACAGCCTCACAGGCCTTGAATTACTTCATATTGAAATGAGATGTGGATTGGCTGACCACCAGAATCCCTGGGTTTAAAAGCAGCAAGCTGTTTCCACTGGTCAAATATTAATAGAAACACTAGGCTGGGAAGTCTGAAGTCCCCCCACCCACCCTCAGCTAGAGGGTCACTGTGGAAAGAAAGTCCTGTGTCTGGAATACAGGCTCTGACTTCGAATGCAGTTCCTATTATAACCTGCCCAGGTTACCAATTCTCTCTTGAGGGACAGATTTTCTTTGCACTATACCACCAGTATGAGCTGCTCTTAAAGTAGCATGAAGTTGATTGGCTGGTGGTACACAGCTGATGTCAGGGTTCTTACACCATTCCCCCTCCCTGCTACCAGCATAGGAGGGGGAAGGGTAAAGGCAGCACCTGTGTGCCACGCTGTTCTTAGGCTGCATTTCAGCCTCATGGGTCTGTTACAGCTGGCACAAGTCAGAGCAGCCCTCAGGTTGCTCTAATGCAGCACAAGGGGATCAGCCCTGGACAGAGCTACAGCAGGAGCAGGGCATGCCAGGTGAGCTTTATGCCACCTTTATGCGCATACCCCTGAACTGGACCCTGTGCATCAGCCATACCACAGCACCTGGCTCATGATTTTAAATACACATTGTGTCGTCTATATTACATATAGATGCATGCACACTCATACCCACACAAACAATAGCTACATGTTTGAATGGTTCAAAATAAGAGACCCAACTATTGTTGTAACAGCTGAAGTGGCCTGGTCTTGCCTGAATGCTGAACTGGCTTTTCTTCTGGAGCAGATTTTAACAGCAATCTATGGTGAATCTAAGCCTATGGATAACTGAGGTTTTGGTTGCTAACTCTATACAGTAACATTTCACATACAGGGCTAGAAAAATGGGTCTGATATAAGCCTCACTGACTTCATTTGAACTCTGATGATTTACACCCGATGAGGGTCTGGCCCCAAAATGCCTAAAATAAAGAAATATGGCAAGAAACCGATCAGTGTTTTCTCCTGACCTGTCGTTTTGGGTGTGGCGGAGGCTTCAATGCAACGCCCAGGCAGGGGCTCTGGGGCAGATTCCATTCTCCAATACAGTCTGTGCCTCAGGCGCGCTATGTTCGTTACAGAAGCATTTTCTGACCTTTTTAAAGGCATCCGTGGCTGTTTCTTGAATCAGTTGCTAACTTTTTTCCTATTGCCATCACCCCCGTCAATTAAAATACATTTAAAAAACCCAACTAAGAGAGAGGAGCCCCACAGTTCTGGGGCAGAAATATCTTAGAGTGGAGGTGTGTCTGTAGTATTCCTCTGAATGGCTCTAAAACAAAACAAAACAAAACGGATTCTGTTTCTGCCCTTTAGGCTATATAGACTGCCTCAGAGGGGGGCCTTTCCCCCATTTTATGTAACATCAGAAATACCAGGCCTTGACTTCCTTCATATTGGTGGAGGACCAGAATGGTAATATCACAACAGGCTGAAAACTGAGCTGAACCTCTCTAGGCACGGGGAAGGGATACTAAAGCCTTGTCCACACTGGGAGATTATTCATATATTTGCACCAATGCCACTGAACCAGTGCAAACAAGCTGCGCTGGTGTCACAAGTGCCTTGCACCAGTACAACTACCCCAGTTTGAAATCAAGGGAAAAGGAGCCGGGGGGCAGGGAAAATTTCCTTGACACAACAGATCATTAAGAAGAAACGCTAGGATGCCAAGAGGGTGGTTATCATCCCAGCTTAGAAGCCTGGGTAGTTGTGATGGAAAGGCCTGGCATTGAAGCAGAATATAGTGAAAAAGGTAAAAGCACCATTTTCCCCCCTGTTTGCATTGGACTCTGCAATGAAGTGATCTGGTTTTATTGGGTTATTTTTCCAGGAGAGGGCAGTAGGCTAACATGCCAATGGCACATGATCCCTACAATAAAGCCAGCAGGTGGATTGGAGATCCTGAATGACTGCATACCATCTCTTGGTGCAGCAGGGATTCTGGTTACTCCGGAAGAGGTGAGCTGGTACCTCCTCCAGATGGCTTAGCTAACACTTTTCACCCAGGACACAGGCAGAGCTGGAACGCTGCCTGCAACTGTGTGCTCTGATATGGTGGATTCCAGCTATGGCCTAGATCGTGGCTAGCTACCCACCACCAATTGGCACCATGACACTCACGCACGCGATTAGCAGCTTCAGCAAATCCCCATGCAGGATTCAGAAACAAATCCCACACTCTGAGCCCTAAAGGAAATAGTCAATGCAATTACGTTGTTCTGAAACAAGCCCTTCCTTCTTTGGATTTTACTCCAGACTTTCTTCCAGGAGAAGCAGCTCACAGGCAAAGCGTAGACGGGACCCCTGAAAACTGATCCCACCACGCTTTCATTCACACGTCATCATGCTGGTCTTGCTGGTTTTCCTGGCCCCTACCCAAATGCCAGCCTGGCTTGGACATGTTGGATCCTCCTTACCCCAGCCCTCTGCTTTGCCTCCTTGCACGCTCATTGACATTTCTGGAAGGCTGTCCCCTCCACGTCTTCACCAATGGAACACGGTGGCAGGGCTGGGGGAAGATGAACCCTGGTTGCAAGGATGGATCTAAGTATGAGTGAAGGGGAGGGGAAAGGAGCTTTGCTGCAGGATGAATGAAGGGCTCACAAGGACATCCACCTACACCACATGCTCTTGCTAGTCTGGGAGGCCATCCAGCCTTTAAATAAATGCTGGGATGCCGGTGAGCTCGCCTGCCCCACACATCATATGGTGCGAATAGCTCTGCTCACCCCCCATCCAAGGCTGCATCTTCAAGACGATCAGACTGTGGGCGAAGGTGATGCAGATGAGGCCGACAGTGAACCCAATGGTGCTGTTCCCCATCCTTTACGGGGTCTGAGCCCCATCCCCCTCCTTGTGGGCTTGCTGTTGCATGTCTGTGCAGCACATTTGACAGGGATGGGGCTGGGACCAGGCTGGCAGTGGCTGGCACAAAGGACGGAGGGGCTAGGCAATACTACTTGCTATAACCTCAAATGGGGCCTGGAGGCTGCAGAGATAGGTGCCAGCAGGCAGACAATCTCTCTGGACTCTACCCTCTCATCACCATTCAGGTTAACAGAGCCTGACCTCTGGCGTGGATTCAGCACCAGTGCCCTCCAGGCCTTTAATTCCCTGGCTCAAACACAAACGCCCCTGGTCCCCACACTTGGGCTCCCCCTTCGCCACGGCCAAAGGGCAGTGGACTCCAGCAGCCCCTTCCCACCGGCCTGAATGTAATCCGCACGGTGCTCTCCAGAATGGGAGAAGTGCATGGAAGTCTAAGGTGCCACACAAGGCCTCGGGTGCTTGGGTCAGTGTCCCCCATGGAAGTGCAGGGCCCCCGAGTGGTGACAATAACAGCAGCAGACGAAAGGGCGGTGGCTGGGGACTAGGATTTTCTTTCTTAGACTAACCAGCTTCTTGGCTTCAAAGGCATCTCTGTCATCCCGAAGCTTCTTGTTCATCTCTCTGCTCCAAAGGAAGGTGAGAGAGAGAGACACAAGCAGAGTGGTTACCAAGCGCTCCTTGGGAGCAGGGCAGACACAAACACTGGAGAGCTAATTAGGGAAATAAGGACGCCCTTCCTGCCAGATGGGTTGGGTGGGGGTCTCAGTCCAGATAACGATGGGACTCCATAGTATAATCTCCTCCCCTGGATGAATCACTGGGTGAGAACCTATGGCCTGGGTTATGCAGGAGGTCAAGCTAGATGATCATACTGGCCCCTCAGTGAATCTGTGGATGCCACCGAAATACATTAAATATTATTACAGCTTCCTGGAGAGACAAAGAATCCGTACGGTGCTTCAGCAGCTTTGGCACATCTGGAAACAAGCTAGCCAGAAGAGGACCAGAGCTAATGAACCAGCTCAAATCCCTCTGGCTATTGGTTGGAGGATTCCCAACTCCCACCCCAAAGAGTCACTAATTCTGGATGCTAAGGAGCTCTCCCAGAGCAAACAAGCAAGCTTGATCACTGCTGGAGTTTTGAACCTATTTCTCTCTGTGGGGTGGATAACACCGCTGACCTTTCCACTTCTTCTCTAGCCTCCTGTCTAGGGAAATAGCAGTCTCTCAACACCCCCCTTACCTGAGGAGCTCCAGCTGTCGAAGAAGGCTTTGTTTCTCTTTCTGCATGTTCTTAGAGACTCTGAACACATCCCTGTGTAAAGGGAGGGGAAAATAAATCAAGAAAAAGAAAAAGAAACAAGGTTAAGCGAAAGACTAGAAAGGATGGAAAATCTGCCTGCCCCCACAATTGCAGTGTCTCTCATGCACACACAAGTGATGTTGCTAAAGGTATAAGCCTGCCAGCTTCAAAGATAGTTCAGTGGATAGCGCATTGGCTTTGGAGCCAGCAGACCTGAGTTCTACTCTGAGCTCTGCCACAAGCCTACTGTGTGTCCTTGGGCAAGTCACTTTCCTTCTCAGCACCACTTGTAAAATAGGGATAATGTCATGGCTAGGTTGTGGGCAGCCCAACTTAGTAATTAGACCCAGAGTTTGCAGTCACAATATAGGAATTAAGAGTTGGCTGGGTCAGGATACTGGGAGGTCAGAAGCAGGAGACAAGCTAGAGGCTCAGGAACCACAAGTCAGATGCTAAGAGTCAAACTGGATGGAGATGCCAGAAAATGGAGCAGGAAGCACAAGGCATGCAGTCCAGAGCAGATAGAACCCAGTTGTTCAGAGAGGTTCCCGCTGCTGGCTTACGTAGGACCAGTGGGCCACACTGGGGCCAGGCTTTGTAGGTCCCACATAAGCTGCTGCCGGTTGGAGTGTGGCTGCTCCCAGAGAACCTTGTGGGCCCAGGTTTGAGACCCATGGGTCATGACTGATAATGATATATGCAGGGCTGCCGCTTCCACTAGGCGACCCTAGGTGGTCGCCTAGGGTGGCAGGATTTGGGGGGGTGGCATTTTGCCGTCCTTGGTGGAAATTCGGAGGCAGGTCCTTCACTCGCTCCGGGACCCGCCGCTGAAGTGCCCCGAAGACGCGGAGTGGAAGGACCCCCGCTGCCGAATGCTCAGATGAGGAGCGCTGCCGCCTAGGGCGGCAAAAACCCTGGCGCCACTCCTGGATACATGCCTCTGTTTGTTAATGCATCATGAGATGAAAAGCTGCTATGTAAGAACTAAGTCTTATTATTAGGTAAAGGCTGAAAAGATGCACCCCACAGTGGCTGCGATACAATTATTGTAACCTCTCTAGCTGAGGCTACAATAAACTGGAGAGCACATGAAAGACACCCCCCTACTGCTTTAAATAAAAATAACAATTCTTTGCCCTTGTACGGTGCTTTCCAGCCAAGCATCTATTAACACATGAATTTAGCCTCACAACTCCCCTAGCAGGGGACTATTCGTATTAGTCATGTTTTATCAATGAGAAAACCACCACAGGGAGTTGATTACTTGTCTTCGCCAGGATCAGATATTGAGCTCATGACAGAGCCAGTAATAGAACCCAGGTCTCCAGCTTCCAAGAGCTGTTCCTTAACCAGTAGACAGCTCCTCATACTGGGTACCAGGGAAGTCATGCTGCACAAGCAGCTATCAGCTTCCACTGCACATTCTGTAACCGCTCTCCAGCCATACCGGTCTTTCTGTTCCTGTTCACACTGAGCCTCCTTCTGGAGACGCTCCAGATGCCCCTTGGCCACCTCCAGCTCCCACTTGCTTCTCTCCAGCTGCTCCAGGAGGTTTTCATTCAGAAGCTGGAGCCGCTCGTTCTGCACCCGGGTCTCCAGCTGCTCAGAGTTCAGAGACTGTATTTGATGTTCCAGCTGGGAAAGAGGAAAAAAGGCAAAGAATAGGAAGAGCCACCTGCCAGACTCAGGAAGCCACAGCCATACAATGGGCCAGAAAAGCAGATACGCAACGTGCTATCGAGGAGCTGCTGCAGGTAAGCTGCCCAGAAGGCCGTGGATAGGCTGTCAGCATTACTCTCAGTGTGACGTAAAGCCACAAGCTGGGTATTTCAAAGCCTGCTATCCTGTGCTGACCCCCCCTGAACCGATAAGTCAGAGCACAGAACTGTGTGCACAATCGTTTCCTACACAAAGGAAAAAGGGGAAGAGTAAGGCTGGAGAAGCAGCAGTAACTCTGCTCACCTCACACCAAGAATAGGACATTATTATTTACTGGTTGTATTTCAGTAGTACCTTGCAGCTCAGTCATGGCCCAGGAACCCAGGCTGACAGGTGCTATACAAACAGAACAAAAAGAGCCACTGCCCCCAAGAGCTTACTATGTAAGTAGACGACAAGAAACAACAAATGGATACAGGCGGACACATGGGGAGCACAAGGAAACGAAGAAACAACATTGGTCAGCATGATAGGCAGTGGTCTCAGACGTTCATTGAGGTTTGTGAGTTTCAGGTTAGGTGTTTGCTTGGCAGAGGCAATGAGTGAAATGACTAGAGCAGGGAACTGGAAGTCGGGATGCCTGGACCTCACTCAAAATACCCCTTAAATCTCAGCTTGCAGCTGCCCGCTTACAAACTGGAATGAGAAGGTTTACAGCACTTTGGCAGCGGCTTTCCCTGACAGGCCTTCATGCACCAGAATGTCAGAGGCAAGCACCCCGCTGAGCCAAGTTTAACCCCGGGGAGACAAGTAGATGGGCGCTACATTACCTAGGCACGAGGTCGAGTTAAGGACAAAGTGAGATCTGATCTCATGCACATGCCAACCTTGCTAGGGCCCCTCTAGGAGGGGATGTGTACTCTGAACTGCCTTCTTGCTGCAAGCTTAAGTCAGACCCTTATCTGAAAGCAAGATAGAGAGAGATAAGGCAGGATCTCATGCATGGCCATCTCTTGACAGAAGACTCCCATGGAATGTAAACATCCAACTGTGCTGGTGTAGCCTGGCTCTCCTCTACAGCATGGTATGCTGCACCTGCTCTACCAGGCCAGATGGAGACAGGTGGTGCGTGCAAACACTGGATTGCTAGGGGTATGTTTGAGCCGGGGCCATTCATCCTGGATTTTTGGAAGGCCACATACGGAGCCCCTTATCTGAGAAAGCCTTACAGACAGCCTCAAAGATTAAATGTTTTAGCTTGCTAAGGATCCGGAGCAGACCCAGTGAATCCCAGTTACTTGAATCCCAGTTACTTGAACCCCATCTCTCCAAACCGCCCTATCTAACAGATGGCCAACATTCCTCCATGTCTGTTGATTCTCGATTAGATAGAGCTGCTTGGTGCTGTTCAAGCCATGTGGCTAGCTGGGACCCTACCATAGCCCTGAACAAGAACTAGTTTGTACGTATCTAAAGCAGAATCATTAGCTGGTCTGGTTGTGGAATCTACACAAAGGAAAACCCAGAAGACACACAATGAGCGAAATGTCTGATATTTTGCTTGCTGCAGATTTGCCTAGTCCATGGATTTCTAGCTAAGCCTCTCTCATCTCCTACAAGCCATTTCTGAAAACCTAGCTCTTCCACAAAGAATTCCAGATAGAGCAGGTCGGAAGTTAGGTCCTTCTTCCCCCTGTGTAAAATTTTGATTTTTTTTTTAAAACAAACTAAACCAAAAACAAAAATATGTTGGGTTGAAAACAGAAAAGATTTCCGTTTACCACAAAAGCATTGAAATGTGTTGATGGAAGCACAGAGACGCTTTCAGTACAAATTTTTACTTCGCTGAAAACCCTATTTTTCATCCAAAAAAGTTTGTGCCCTAATACCAGCTGCGATGACTGCATGGCACTTTGTGTCTAAACTGAATCCAACCAGCTTGTACTTTAAGACAGCAATTCTTTCAGGGCAGGGATGTGCTATTGGTTTGAGGCAGTTTGTCTGCTACACTGAGCCAGGAATACTTATGGCAATATATATATATAAAAAAATATTGCCACTTCAATATGACCACAAGGGAGTCCTCTCCCAGAGCAGCAGCTTTGCCATCCGGCATGGCTGGCACTGACCTGAGCCCTCTGACTGGCATGAGTTCTCCCTGGATCCAGTCAGCAGGTGCCAGGCAGGTAATTTGCAATGAGGGAGCTCTGAAGCAGAGGGAGGAGAGCAAAACTGGAAGCTGCTTTAGGAGAGGCAGCCATTGAACATAAGGGTCTTGCTGTGTAAGGCAAGATTAGGGCCATCACTGCTGCATAAATGAAAATCGGGGCGAGGGGAACAGGGCAATCAGCTTATATGCAGCTGCGCTACTCAGCCTGCGTCTCTGTCACCTCAAGCATCAGCGAGACAGGCCATCCTCATAGCATGTCACAAGGTGCTTCCTCGCCTTTTCCCTGCATTGCAAGAGTGCTGCCGCCATGCTCGTAGGGCCTGACTTAAAGTCTATTGCAGACAGTAGGAGTCTTCCCATTGACTTCAGTGGGTTTTGGATCACATCGCTACGTCCTTGTCAACCCATAGAGCTCGAGACTCAAACATAGAGCCTCACCTTGTTTTGTCACTAGACTGTGCTGTCCCCACCTTCCCCCCCTAGCTGTGGGTTTAGTCATGGTGATCCATACATTAGCAACCTCCATTGAAGGTAATTGCATTTATCTGTGCCAAGGTATGAAACCACTCACCTTAAAAAAGCCTGAGTTTTCCATGCAGGATACACAGGGCATCCTGAACACGTTCCCCCATGCGAGACCCAGACATTTAGCAGAGGAGTTAACCTACAGTTCACTAAGGAAGAGGAGATGAACCGTGTGGAAAGGAAATGAAGTCTGTCAATTACAGACTGGTGATTTCACTCTTTGAGAGTGGGAGTGTTATCATTCGGTCTCATTGTGCCAGTAAGGGCCACTATTTTCCCTAGCATGGGAAGGATTTTGCTCTCCTGGTTATTTCAATGGTGGGAGATGAAGCAGATCAGACAGATGTTCTACGTCCACTTCTCTGTTAGTTTTAGCTTCACAGTCCATGGACCAGAACTGCAAATCATAGAATCACAGAATATCAGGGTTGGAAGGGACCTCAGGAGTCCCTGCTCAAAGCAGGACCAATTCCCAACTAAATCATCCCAGCCAGGGCTTTGTCAAGCCGGGCCTTTAAAACCTCCAAGGAAGGAGACTCCACCACCTCCCTAGGTAACGCATTCCAGTGCTTCACCACCCTCCTAGTGAAATAGTGTTTCCTAATATCCAAATGCATTCTCCCCAAGAGGATTTGGGGATGGTCTATCCACTCATGATCTGGTGACTACCAAGATTGCAGAAGTGTCTCTGGCACAATATGTTTATTCTTTTTGTTAGCCCTATCCCCTGGGTTAAGGGGCCTTTATCCCCACCAAGGAAAGAGGTAGAAGACCCCTCATGCCCAATAGTGAGGGGATATCAGGCAAGGTCTTGTTATCTGTTTGATTTGATACCCTCCCTCCATTCACCTGAAGATGCCTCTTCCCTCCCTAACTTGGACTTTGGTGCCATCAGATAGTACACTTGGACTTTAGAACCATCCTCTGGACACTGACTGCACTGTTTACAGTGTGCTACAGTGTTTGACCTGCATCATGGTTATCTGCTGATATGGGCTAGCATCCATGGGCAGTTCCTAGTCAGAAAAATATCTACAGAGCTTTAAACACACACACACCCTCAAAATGATCTGGACAAATTGGATAAATGGTCTGAGATAAACAGGATGAAGTTTAACAAAGACAAATGCAAAGTGCTCCACTTAGGGAGGAAAAATCAGTTTCACACATACAGAATGGGAAGAGATGGTCTAGGAAGGAATACGGCAGAAAGGGATCTAGGGGTTATAGTGGACCACAAGCTAAATATGAGTCAACAGTGTGATGCTGTTGCAAAAAAACCAAACATGTTTCTGGGATGTATTAACAGATGTGTTGTGAGCAAGACACGAGAAGTCATTCTTCCGCTCTACTCTGCTCTGGTTAGGCCTCAGCTGGAGTATTGTGTCCAGTTCTGGGCGCCGCATTTCAAGAAAGATGTGGAGAAATTGGAGAGGGTCCAGAGAAGAGCAACAAGAATGATTAAAGGTCTTGAGAACATGACCTATAAAGGAAGGCCGAAAGAAATTTTCAAACATACCTTAAGATTACTGCCCCCAGTCACACTTAACTGATACAAATTCCTTTTATACTTGATCTTCTTCTGTACAAGTCTATTAAAAGCCAAAACAAAGACAAAGTGACTGTCATAGTTTTGATTTTATTTCTACGTTATGTTTTATAAAAACAAATTGAAACCAAGGTTAGAAAACCACAGGCTACAGGACAAACAGCCGTGTTT